CTGTGTCTGAAATGTTACCTAGTGCTAAATACTGTTTCACTGCGTGATACATCTGATTAACAAAATAAAATGGTACTACTGTCCTTCTAAAGTCAATCATCTCATAACAGTCGAAAAACATTAAGGCAACGTATTCCTTCAAAAACTGTTACCATTTTAGTGAATGGTTTCGGAGTACGATGATAGTTCCTAACCAAAATCATATTCTGGCCGACAGGTAAATTCTTCGTGGGATAAGAATTACTTACTCGGAAGTGAGTTGCTATTAAACGACATAACTTGTCGTGTTAATTATAAAAACAAATTGAGACCACTTCAAAATCTGTAATTTCTTTTAGATAACAATAAACAGTAAGATATTCAGCAAACAGACTTTTTGCATTCGTATATACACTATATTTGAAAAATTATATCCCATGAGAAGAATTAAACACCATAATAATAATAACAATAATAATAACCATATACGTACTACTTATTACGATAAAAGTTGAAGTATAAGTGGTGACAAAATAGATTGTGTAATATATAAAATAGTTCAACTTATTCAAACTGTAAGTCGCCTTGGTTTTTATAGACGATATATAGATGACAATTTTGTTACATATGATAAAGATGTTGATTTAGACGATGTTCTTCGTTCGTTCAATAACTGTCAATCAGCCCTAAAGTTCACCATAGAGAAGGAATCATAACCAACTATTCTTTTTCTTGATATGCTTTTCATCAGACAACAAAAGATTCCTTAAAACGTACATCTATAGAAAACCAACGTGGAGCGGACAATCCACTAATTTTTACAGTTGAGTGCCTGTCCATAGGAAAATAAATCTTATTCACTCTCTCTACTATCGAATAAACAATATCCGTCGTGAAGATTTTATTGGTTCACAGTTATCGTCTTTAAAAAGCACGTGCATCAAAATGGTCACCCCTACTGTTTCATTGATGAAAACATGGGAAAAAGAAATATCAAACTGACCATTCACTCGATCTTAAAGAAAATATTGTTCATGAACTTATAATTTAAAAGTGGATAAGCATCATATGTACTCAAGAATCGTCTATGTTAACCAATAAAGAGAACGTTTTTCGAAGCAAGACTTCAACTGACTTTTACTAGCCGTAACCTATTCTCTGTTTGCGTGAAAGATAAGGTTTCTCGTCTGACCGGCTCTATGTGCATCTGTCAGTTTAAATGAACTTGTGCAGCAAGGTGAGTTGGCCGTGACTGACTCACTGACTGACGCTGAGAAAATCAACGTAGAACCTCGCACACAGGTGCATCGGTTCAAGTTGCCAGATTTAGCAGCAATACACAAAAAACAGGTGGATAGAATAAGAGTGATATCAAAAGACATTGTGTGGGAGAATAAACAATTTGAAGATAAAGGTTAGTGCGGATAATTAAATGTCAAGGACTGAATATATCTGCGCCATAGTGAACGATTCTCAGCAATGTCACCAACAGTCCACAAACAGTCCTCGGGGACCCCAACCAAGCAGCCTACATCTCCCCACTCGCCTAAGACCAACAGTCAGGGACTTCAGCGACTGGTGCCACGTCTTGGTCTGGCCACCCTGAACCCTCTCCATACCTTATCTAACCTCCTAGCACAGCATGTCGAGGTAGGCAGTAGCACGGTATGAGCAGTACATTTCAAAGCCATCTCACTACGGTTCACAACCTCATCCATCCACTTGCCCCTCTTGCTTAGTACCCTTAAACTAACCTCAACATTGCTCACACTCGGATTTCACCACACGCGAAAAATGCTACGAAGATATCTATGATCGAAACCTTTTGGCCACTTCATGTCTTCTACTTTTAAGAGCCATGTCTCACAGCGGTACAACAGGACAGAACGGATTACAGTGCAATATACTCATCTTTTGGTAAATGGATATCTCGCCGACGCCACAGTTGACGTATGGTAAACGGATCTTCTGTATCCAAGCTGAGATGTCGTCAGAAACCAGCCCATTTGTGTTGATGCAACTTTATAAGCAACTGAAGTGGTCAACACATTACATCACTTCACTCCCTATCATTAGGCTGGGAGTTGTTCCAGACTAGTCTTGGAGCATCATCTTACATTTGACAGGTGCAAAACGCTTACCAAGCAAAATCAGATTTCTGCTGAACGTTCAAAGGACCCTGCGTTTTCGCAGCGTCTTCACCTAGCAAAAATTTGGCCGTAACCATGGAATGCTTTCTACTCGCATATGAAGTCATGCTCCGGCTTGGTTTTATATAGGTGGAAGAAAGTTGGTTTGAAGTTCTATTCTAGAATATATGATTGATTTCCATCACTCAACAAAACCAGGCAATGACTTTGAAATTGTTTATTAAATTCATCCAAACCTCACAAGTTTGCTTCGTTTTCAACTCTATAACATCGGTGGCGTTAGCTATTCATGAACTGATCCTTGTGTACAACAGAAATATGTACATTCACTGTTTTTTACTATAGTTATGATATTTCCCCAACCCCATGAAATTCCCTTTCATATCGTTCAATTATTCTTTGTTATTCTTCGTTTATCATTATTGCTGATACCTTCAGTTTGATTACTTTTCGGTGCTATTTCACTTGACTGTCTTAATCTTTTCGGAAAACATTCATTTTATTTTGACTAACTTGTCCCATTCAATTGCTTAATACTTTATCGGTTTGCTAGTTTCAGCAATTTTGCCCTCCCTTATGAGCTATATACATCCTATGAACCGTTCTATACATTACGCAACCTACTCTCTTACCATTCATACTTTAGCGATTATCATAATCATAGATACGAACATCATCATCACTAGTATTATTAGCATTTGAAGTAATGGGTACTGGGCTAAAGTCTCAGTGAGGACAACGTCAATCACGAGAGTGCAGGTATATCCAGCTAACGAGTCCCAAATAGGATGAAACGCGCATCCTGGATTCCACTGCTAGCCACAACCAAATCAATTATATCATATAGTATTTTGTTTTTCTCAAGGAATATAATTTTTCAAATATCAGATATATAAACAAATGTACAGCTTGAAAACAGATTCCTTGAAAAGAGTCTTTTTGCTGAATATCTTCTTAATATTTCAATGGTAATTCTTAAATAACGATAAAGAATACGATAGCACTATTCATTGGACGGAATGAAGATGAGAATTCCAAATAGTCTAACGCAAAATTTTCTATTTCAGTATAACCATTAACATGTAGTATAAACAAGATGACACTTCAACCAGTATTCTTGCCGACTGGATAAGAATAAAATACCGGAGAGGAATATTTTGCGCTACAATTCTAGAGCAAAAGATTGGATTACTTTTACGAAAATATGCTATACTTTTTGCAGACTATCTTATGCTCAGTCTACCAACACACTCATGAAACAGCACAGAGAGGAATTGAAAATTTTTGAATTTACAAGTTAAAATATACAACTAGGAATAAGTATACGGTATTTATACTAGGTGATGATTAGAAGTGGAATGAAAATTTGAATCGCGACAGGATTCGAACCAGCGACCACCTGGTTGAAGTGAAATAAAAATTGGGTCAGTATTCGGATCTCGTAGCTCAGTTGGTAGAGCATCGGGCCGGAAACCCGGTGGTCGCCGGTTCGAATCCGGCTGCGGTCCAGATCTTATTCCACCTTCAATCACCACTCAGTATCAATACTAGTCTGTCAGTCCACGGCTCTCTCAGATAGTTAGAATGATATAAGGTATTTGTTGTTATATTTGAGAAAAGAATAATTATTGATACTACTACTACAGACTGTCATTTCACCTCCTTAGATAGATAGAATATTCATAGTATAAAAGAAAGGTGGATCACAGTAGGATCTAAATAGACAGTTTCTGGTTAAGTGATTTACCAACTGTGTTTTATGACCCAATTATTGTTGCGAATGGTCGTTTTCAGCTTGACCTAGACCAGTATGAGTACCCTCTCCGGCCTATTAGCTCTTTTAACTGGTGGAGGTGATAGAACGTCTTACTTACAATAGAAATTCTAAAACCAGGAAACAGGTGACCACTTGAACATTTACTGCCCACGTTGGTAAACTCCTACAATCTGTATTCAAGTGATCCGTATAGCGTTATTTGATACTTGTAACTTCCCGCTGCTACACAGGATCGAATTGCTCGTCCTCTGTTAGCAGATGGACCCCTATGCGGCTGCCTCGATTCTGCCCGATATTTATGATATTGTATTCATCTTGGTGACTAGCTGTGGAATTCAGGACGCCAGTTTAGTCTTATTTGGGAGTTTCGATGCTTAAATTAGCCAACTTTACCAGTTTTTATAAACTTATTCCCTTGTAGCTTTCACATATGTTCGATAAATGGTGATTGAATGAGTTAGAGTTGAAAATTATAACTCGACAGCCTGCGAGAAGATTATGTAATAAGTTCCAGTCTTAGTCAAAGTGCATAAAACTATTGCAATTTAGTCATCTTCAACTGATTAGTCGCAAATGGTGCAAAACACCTAAACCACATATCTATAAGCTTAGGCGTTTTGCATGCATAATCTTACATAATTTTCTCCCAGGCTACCGAGTTACAGTTTTCAACTCTAACTTATTCAATCACCATTTATCGAACATATGTGAAAGCTACTAGGGAATAAGTTTATAAAAAGTGGTAAAGTTGACTAATTAAAGCACTGAAACTCCCAAATAAGACTAAACTGGCGTCCTGAATTCCACAGCTAGTCACCAAGATGAATATAATAGTCCATATAATTGTGTAGCGTGATGATGTGCAGAGTTTCGCGGGACCGGGAGTTCTGGCATATGGGTGTGCATATTGATCAGGTGTCTACAGTAATCATGGTGCCGATATGGATGACCTGTCAGAGAACAGGTTGTATAAGTGGTGATGCACAACGACTATTTCAAAGGTTTCTGCTTTAAATATAGATTTTAACCTCACTTACAGCAAATGAATTTAATGAACATTTAAAATTTAGTATTAACTCAAGAAGATAACTTACGGAAACATCACAAGGATAGTCAATTCTATTTTGTAGCTGTTGTTCAGATAGCATACCGGGGAACAGACTAAGTACATGAATCGGATTAATAGACTGTTCAGTGAATACATTTAAAGCTTCTGTAAATTTTTTTTCATGATATAAATGTATTGCATACAGTATAGTAATCTGTGGAGTCTCTATTGCATTTTGACCACTATATAATGCTGTTTTAGCCAAACAGATAGCTAATTCAAATTCCTATAGAATAAAAACAGTCAAATAAACACGTGGTTAACATGAAGTATATAAAATACCAGATTACATAATACTGGTGACAAGGTTAACAGAAGGTGAAGTAAGAATTATATGAAACGAAGATGTTAACCAATAGCTTCCTAATTAATGACTAATATTAATGCTTTTCCTTTGAACTGTTAATCTAAGATATACATAATTATCAAAAACATCTTACGTTTACTTAACTTATACAGATCGAGGAAAAACTTGAAAACTAGATATCTTTGAAAAAGCAATGAGATTGCTAGATTTATACATAATCAAATGTATCAGTTAAGATATAAGTTTCAACAGAAGGTACTCAGTTTATGCATTGAGGTTATTTAGAATTAATATCGAAGGCGAAATGGCAAACTAGTAAGAAACTAAATACACTATATATGCCAACCCAACTATCCCATCCCACTCTGTTTGGCCATTCCAAATGAAGAACGTTGTCCTAAGTTCACCGAGAAGATTGTCTACAAATGTCTCAAATCTCTGAACCCTTCACACAGTTTAGGTCCACATGACATATGTCAAGCTTCATATACACGAAATGTGCCGATATATTATGCCATCCACTAACCAATATGTTTAATAGACCATCTTCAGAAAATACCGTAACAGATGTCTGGAAAGATATTAAGATAGTTCCCGTACCTAAGTCAGTGACTCCGGGGCATGTTTGAAATTCCATTCGGTTGCAGTTACTTCTCTGTTCTTGAAAATAATTCAGAAGCTAAAGATACCTGTCTTGGTTGTGTTCTCTGAGTTGGGATGTTTAGTCGTGGAGCTTTCATCATCTTTCTAGACATCATCAGCACTAACTTCAGTATGAAGTGGGCTATCAATATTTCTCTGTTAGTGATTAAGTAGCTTGCCTTGACAAACTGGTTTGTGATTGGTTTTTTCCTTTGATTGTTGTCATTGACTATGTAGATTTTCCTGTCGGCTGCTCCTCTGCTTGACCTCCGACCTTTCTTTCGTTTATCACTCTTCTCATTGGTTGATAGATTGGGTCTGTGTCTATACTCAGAGAACATAACATAACCAAGACCATCCACCTGAGCTACAAATATTCTCCATCTCATAATAATACCTGTGCTTGAACCCATAGTAAACGTTTCTAAAGATCCTAATGAGTTTGCATAGAAAAGCAAAAAAAGCACTCTGGATTCCATCGCCGTCTTATATAACAATATTGCTCATAATCTTGATAGAAATGTCAAGTATTCCAGGTATGTCTATACTTCAGGATTTGATTCTATCCCAATACCTCTTTTGTTGGACGAGCTATCCGAGACACATAGTGAATAATCAGCTGGCTGCATTCCTATTTCTCTGAAAGGATACAATATACTGTTCACAAAGGGGAGCGCTCTACCTCGTTGCTTGCTGAGGTTAGTTGCCGTTTCTTCCCCTAATCTTTTCGTTTTCTTTCTGTATGACTTACCATCTTCAGGTAGTATTAATTTTGTAAAATATGCTAACGACTTGACGGTTTCTATAACTATCTTCACTTTATCAGATTGTTCCCAACTGAACGATCTCCTATCTACTTTTGGACGGTGATCCTCTGTGAATGGTCTTGTGCTTAATTATTTCTTCAAATGTCAGGCTATAAACTTTAGTTTCAGACGTAAATATGACCTATGTAAACTGTTCAAGTATCATGATTCCTCCTCTTTTGATGGCTGTGTATTAGAGAATGATACAAGTCTGATTTACCTCGGTGTGTTTTTCTTCAAACCTTTCTTCGTCCTCCAGTATCTTACTAATTTTCAAAAGAATCTGCCACCCAGCTTACTACATTAGGAAGCTGAGAATATTTGGTATAAGTCAGCCTATTCACTTGTGTTTTATAAGACTTTATGAATGTACTACAAAATGTAAAACCCTATATGTATGTAAAAACTGCTTCTGTCCAACGGAAACTGTAATACATGCTGGAAATTCTGCGTAGTATTCCCAAAATATCTTTCAGAATAAAGCCATTATTATTTTCAAAAAACTTCGACCGGTTACTGGAAAGTGATCGATTTCACGTTGTCTAGTCCTCGGTGATGACCGAGTTCTATCGATCATTTCGCAAATAGCTTTCAAGTTAGGAGACCTATCATCACGGTACACTTTGGCAAAGGTTAGTTAGTTGCCATATAGCTCCTCTTCACCAAGGCTTTGTGCTCGTTGGCACACATTTTTAAGGCTCATCGGCAACCTCCAGGGTAATGATGTCCTATCTGAAATCCAGACCCATGTAACCCAGTGCTGCTAACAGGGACATTACATTCATCTCTTCAGGACACAAGTGACCTCCTATAAAATTAGATTAGTTACATTGATTGGTCACTGTAAAGTAACCAATTGCATGTTGTTTAGGTCCTGAGTACTGACCCAAATTTATCGATGTTTTTACGAGTAAGAAGCTGACACTTTTTTGACATTATCACTGCATGAACCATTTAAACCTTAGATCCTTGATGAAGCTGAAAGTATTTAGATTGGGTCAGATGATCTTGAAGTGGCAAAAAAATCTCCTGACTATAAGTGATTGATCTGACAAAACAAAAAAATAATGAAAAGGGTGTCTTTACAGTTCATCACATACACATATCAGGATTCAGTCTATATTAGGTATTTCATGTTAGACGGAAGAAATGCAGCTCTACCACTTATTAGTACCACCTATTTGGTTACTTAGTGATCGTGTTTATATCTGCGATTGACTACTAGTTATCTTTCTACGTGATGAAAGGGAAACAGCCTCAGTAACTACGCATTGTACTACCTAGAGAAGGCTTTTATGAACCTTTATCACTGTTAGGAAGTTGAGTATCTAAGCCAATGATTCACATACAGGCATTATCAACACAGAACCAATGAACTAAGGAGTAAAAGAGAGGCATTTCACCTTCATTCGAAACTCCTCAGTACAGCACATTTGCAATCTTGTAAGAGATAGAGCCAAGAACAGTTGGGTTTTGTGGTGAACAGATTACCATTCAAACACCAGGTTGATATGCTCCGACTTTTAATGATTGGCAATATTATATGATGATTATTAAATGTATTTGTTATGAGGGTCAGATTTGCAAATAAAACCAATCAAAGCTACCGATTTCAATAGATGCACTATATATAGACCTCCCTCTATCACGTGATTTGCAAGAGAGTTAGCTATCTAGAATGAGGACTGGCTTGTTCTTGCGTGTTGGTAATTTAGATGAGAAGTTAGTTTATCAAGTATGAACACTATATTTATTATCTTGATAATTAGTAATACTTCCGTTTAGTGTCCCGTCTTTTGATTACCTTGACTGGGACTTGGCAGCGAGTTCCGAAACGAAACACACTCAACTACGCTGTGCACATCCGTGCAGCAGGCAATGAGCCACACCTAGTGTGTGAGGGTTAGTGATACCACCTGACTGCCTGAACATCGATAGGTGGAGTGGAGCTCGAAGCTGTAACTAGACGGTTGGTAGTCATCCTCCTAAACCTACTAGTGATTGTAAGCTGAAGTTATTTCCCCAATACACATCCCCAAAATATGATCTTTTTGTAGCGTCCTCATATTGCGCTAGTTAATAAACAAAGGGTAGGTTCGAGAACCGTAACATATGCTATAATGGACTTTATTTTTATCTCACAGTATCCTAATTTTATAATCATCAATAACAAAATAGGACCAGGCATTACTGCGTAACTGTCCGAGTTGCCACACTTCATATCAGTACACTGAGGAAAAAGGCAGTGAAGTGAAAGATGAAGATGAGGAAATTTAGTCAAAATAAATTTAAAGAAAGAAAGAAAGAATGAGAAAACGGTGAGATTAGGTAAAGCGTCGCTAAGATGAGGATAATGTGTGTGGGGATACATCGCCACTGACATCGGTTCTGAGCTATATCATCTAGAGTCTCCAACCACTGGTTCCTCTTGTCCCGCAGACGCCAAACGGCTAGTCTGCATCACACCACATGGCTCAAACCAATAGTCAAAGACTTTATACATTCATGCCATGTTTAAATCTGGCCGCCTCGGAGCTTTTTCCAACCTGAACCTACTTCGGCCAACATTGTGTGACAGGGCAAACGGCAACGCGGCATACATAACACATGTCCCAACCATCTCAGTCGACGAAGGTTCACAACCGTATCAACTAACTTACCTCTTCTCCCTAAAACTCTATACCTGACTTCTACGTTACTCACGTGGTGACACCACGGAATACCCCCTATACTACGAAGGCAACGTTGGTCAAACACCTGAAGCCTTCTCGTGTCTTCCACCTTCAGTGGCCACGTTTCACAGCCGTGCAGCAGAACAGAGCGGACTGCTGTGCAGTACATGCGACCGTTAATAGACAATCGGATATCTCGGCGGCGTCATAGGTGTCGTAAGTTGGCAGAGGCCAGCCGAGCCTTTTGTATTTGTGCAGAGATTTCATCGGTAACTGACCCACCAGGGTTGATCCTACTTCCCAGGTAAGTGAAGTGGTCAACACACTCAGCCGTGGCACCGTTGAAGACCAATCCTGGAGCCAAAATTTGCATTTGGGTGGTGAGAAGAGCATCCCAAACATTCTCAAATAGCCACATAAAGTGTCCAGAAGACTCTGCATCTTGTCAGCGTCTTCACCTAACAGGACTATGTCATCTGCATATTCTAGGTCTAATGAAAATTCTCCTGCGATTAGGTCAACCTCTGTGTAATCAGGCGACGAGAGGGAAACCTCCATAAGAATATCTATGATAAAATTGAATAAGAATGGAGAGAGTGGACACCCTTGATGGACACCACTCGATGAACATAGCTCCCTGGACATTTCACCATAGGCTCTAACACGCTCAGAAGTGTCCAAGTAGAGAGCCTTCAACAAGTTGATGTACTTACTCGGCACGACTTTCAGTGAGACATTGCCATAAGACTTCTCAATCAACGGAGTTGAATACCGCCTTCAGGTCGAGAAATGCAGCTATTGTTGGGCGTCTGTGCGCATGTCTGTGTTCCTAAACTTGGTCCAGTGTGAATATTTGGTCGATACACCCGCGGCTGGGTCTAAAACCTGCCTGGTTTCCTCGGGCTTGCTGTTCCTTAGCTCCACTCAGGCGTCGAAGAACTATAGAACCTAGGATCTTGGACAATATGTTTGTCAGGCTGATTCCTCTGTAGTTATCACAAGAGGACGTCTCGCCTTTCTTGAAGACTGTGATAATCAGTGATTTAGACCAGTCAGAGGCGATCGTATTTGATTCCCATATACTGGTTAACACTTCCGTTAACCTGACTAAGAGCACCTTACCGCCATCTCTGCCGCCCTTCCTCGTTTCAGGTTACCTGCCACTTTCTAGACTTCTGCAAGTGTTGAGGGGGCTATCTCAATGTTCCATTCGGGATCCGACTGGACAGCGGGCAACTAATACAGTATCTTATGAATGTATGCACAGAAGTTTTGGTCTGCTCGATGTAACCTTTGGTATATACCTTCATGAAACTCTGTCTTAATCCTATTACTTACAGAGGAAGAAATGAAAATTTTAATATTTACGACTACTGTGTTTTTGCGACAAACTTTTTACAACAAAATAACATCATTATTACTTGCTGATACTTGTAATTCTCCGTTGTTATACTGGATCGCATTGATCGACTTCTATTGACATATGGGCTTCTGTGCGAATGTGTCGATGTTGCCTGAATAGTTATTGTTATCACTGACCTGGTTATGGCTGATAGTGGAATTCTTAACGCGCGTTTCAACCTATTTGGGACTCGTCAGCTGGATGTACATGCACTCCAGTGAGCGATATCTTTTCCACTGAGACTCGGACCTCATACCCATCGCTGTAAAAGTCAAAGCGTTACCCACTAGGTCACTGAGGCGCGATAACCACCTCTTGTAGAGTGGGTATTAGTTATTATTATTATTTGTCGATATACTCGTAATTCTTCGTTGTTATACTGGATCGAATTGATCGACTTCTGTTGGCATATGGGCTTCTATGCGGATGCCTCGATATTGTCTCAATATGTATAGCCACAACCACATCAGTTATTTAAAAAAACATCATCATTAATCTATTAACAGTTTACAATTACCTTTTGTTTAACTAACTCTTGAATAAACTTTAATCTGTTCACTGACAGAATAAGCCAGATTTCATTACCGCTAGTATTCTTACCGCGTGCACCAGAATTGTTATGCATCGATTGATTTGAATGATTCTGATGATTAGCGGAATCTACTGTGAAATGAGATGTTGTGATTACTGGAGCTGTGCTTGCATAAAGCCATCCACCAGAATGACACATAGCTGTAACACGAGATATTGATAATTGTTGTATCAACTGATTTGGATGCAGTACACGTATTTCTAGTGAGTTATCCATAGTCTAAAATGTAAAAATAATTCGAAAAAAAAACACTGAAATTAATATTATGCAATATATCCTGTAAAATATCAACGAAATAGACAATAATAAGAAGCTGAAATGTGTGTAGGAATTTGACCTCTGCTTCTTCTTACTCTTCTGAGATACATCATTATGTCGTACACTGCCAAGGACGGTTAGACTTTACAACAAAAATAATTAGATTATTCAGTTTAAGATAAAAGACAAAATAAAGAAAGAAAACAAAACGTTACAGTGGTATAAAAAAAGAAATCATGTAAATATGCATTGATTGAAGGTTTATAAAAAAAATTAAGGTTTTGAAATCAATAATAATAACTTAGATTATGCTTTTCTTTGGGGTGCAAGCATATACAACTCATGACTATACCAATATATATGCGTAGAGATTATCAGATGGTGTTACTAAGACGATGCGAATACCCAAGACACAAACTCTAGGTCTCGGTCAATGCATAAGTTACACCCAGATTCATGTTAAGGAGAAAACAATGTCTTCGTGCATATTTTTTGGAAGACAGTCATATACTATGCGATGAACCCATAGACAAAAAAGATAACCTTTAGGAATGTTTAAAAGCTGATATATAACCTAAGTCATTGATCATATGCATAAACAGATTGGGTAAATAAACTCTCGAAATAGTAAACGTAATACAAATTTCTTGTATGCGCTTCTAAGTAGTATTACACAGAGAACATACATTGTAGTGCAAGTTTCAAATTCATGGTTCAGTGGTTGTAAGCAGACTAAGTCAATGGGTCAAGCAGGCAAGTGAATATAATAAGCATATGAGCAAAGACACCAGAATAAATAGTCTGGTCATTATTACCTTATCTTTTTGGTGTGAAACTATGCATAAGATTAAAGCAAGCAACCATGAGCAATTCCCAACGTTTTTCGCGATATTGCATTTAACAAAGTTTCAATGTTAATCAACACAGATGGAAGTTGAATGATAGAGTGAACAGAAGATATTTCAGCAACTATGAAGTTTTAAGTTAACTCAAGTGAATTATAGTGTGATAACAAGTATGACATATAATACTAACAGCTATCGAATCAATAATCAGTTTGATACAAATTTGCAAGCTACTGCATATATAGAGAACAAATGGAATTAGCAATGATCAGAATCCATGTTGTTTTGTTTCATGCATTTCCTGATTGTACTTAAGGAGCTTGACTTGCAGTCCCTTTCCAATAACATCACTAGCGTTTAATTTATATATTTCCTTCGAAAATATATCCTTAAAGATGATGAAGAATTGACCAAGAGTCTTCGAAATGGTCGCCAGCAGTGGTGGGCGGTGACAGGGAGAGAGACAGAGAAAACATTAGTGTTGGCTAACACCTGGTAACTATTAAGGCTTAACAAAGATACCATCACCGAGGAAGATGGATCCCTAACACCCTCCTACGACTAGCGACTAACACTTTGAGGAGAACACTTTGAAGCACAGTTCAACTGGCCCTCTGTAACGCTCCAGTTGCCCAGGATCCAGCTTGATCCTGAATAGCACCTAGATGTCGGTCCTCCAACTCTCCATGAAGTCAAGAAAGTTGCATGGAGTCTGAAACGATGTAAAGCAGCAGGACCGACAGTTTGTCACCTGAATTTTTCAAGGAAGGAGGTATGAAATTGTTGATTAGAATGCCAGAAGTAGTAAGTAGTGTATGGGAATCAGAGATAGTGCCATCACACTGGTCTACTTTACAGACCATCCTAGTCATTAACAAGCGACAGAAGTCTTCCTGTGACAACAATAGGGGAATTATTTTGACTAATATTGTGTACACGATTCTACGGTTCAAAGTTTTCTGACGCCTAACTGGAGCACAAGAACAGGGAATTCGAGAGATTCTGGAAAGTTTCAGACCTGGACAAGGGTACATCGGTCATATTTTCACCCTCTGACAGGTTCTGGATTACATGCATATATACCGGTCAATGGTCAACACTTGCTATATTTGTGGACCTAAAGACGGTATTTGACTCGGTCGACGATGAGAAGATGTGGCAATGTCTGACTGTGAAGGAAGTACCGAGTGGGTATATGGTGCTTATCGAAGCTCTCAACTCGAACTCACACAGCCGTATAAGGTCTTGTGAAGAGTTGTCATGTGAATTGACGACAGCTACTGGTGTTCACCAGCCACATCCACTGTCACCCCTCCTATTTAACTTCGTCATACACGTACTACTAATGGATATAACTTTAGGTACTTCTGACTTCATAGGGATTGATCCACTTCCTGGAAATCATCTGGTTGACTTGTAGTATGCAGACGAGGTTTTCCTTTTAGATGAAGACGCTGATGCGACATACAATCTTGTGAACGCGTTGCGCAGAAATCTGAGTATGTTTGGCATGCGTTTCTCTGGTAGCTATCAAATGTAAGATGATGCTCCAGGACTTGTCTGCTGCAACTACTCCCAGTTTGATGATAGGGAGTGAAGTGGTGGAATGTATTGACCACTTCACTTACTTGGGGAGTAGCATCAGCCTGAAAGGGTTGGTTTCTGGAAAAGCTTTAGATAGGATACCGGAGACCTGTTTGGGATTTGCCAACGAGCGTCATCTATGTCACCCATTGGCGGAAAATTATACTGCGCTGCAATCCGTTCTTTCCTGCTACAGGGCTGAGATATGGATGTTAAATGAAGAAGACATGAAGCAGTTACAGGGTTTTGGTCATAGATGTCTTTGTAGAATTGCTCATGTGTGGGGGAACCACCGTGTGAGCAATTTTGAGGTCAGGTGAAGGGTATTAGGTAAGACAAGCAAGTCGATTGATGTTGTGAACCTTGGCCGACTGAAATTGCTTGGACATGTATTTCGCATACCGAATCACCCCCTATCTCAACGTGCCATGCTAGAAGAAATTGGATTAGGTTGCAAGAGGGTTCAGGGTGGAAAGACGTGGCACCAATCGATGAATTCTACTGCTGCTAGTCTGAGTTGTTTGGGGAGATGCAGACTGACAGGTTGGGGTCCTGAAGACAAAAAGAATCAGTGGTTGAGGAATGTTGGCGACATGCTTACAACTCGGTCGCAGTGGCGCAGATGTATTCACCCTTTGAAGTATTCTGAAGCATGAAATTTTGCGCTTACCTTTATTTTAAGATTGTTAATTTTCTCACACAACTATGTCTTCTTTGATATTAGTCTTTTTCTATCTGTTTTTCCTTTCTATACTACTGTGAAGTGTGGCGAATTAAGCAGAGGCACTTGTGTACGAGGTTATACGTTTACTTTGTATGTCTTTCTGTTTGTCGTGAAGAATTGGAAGCAGGGGGGTATTGAACGGAAGAGTTTGAAAAACACCTGCAATCACAAAAGTCCTAATGTGATTAACATTAGATCCCAATGTAATGGAAATTATACAGCTACTTAGAAGTCGAATGATTTATACTCAACTACAAGGAAACATTACGCTTCAAATAAGTTGCAATAAGTTTGCGTCACACTACACAACTGTAAATACCAAGGAATACAGAAATGAAGCACGACTTTCTAGCTCTCATAAATCATACGCAGATTCATGCACTAGGCAATGAACCATACCTCTTTTGTGAGGACTAATAATACTACCTAAACCTCAATTGATGAGGCAGGGTTCTATTCGTAGCCAACTGATTCAAATCCTACTACCTAACCAATTATCAGAATTTTATTACACCTCTAGTCAGAGGGGGAAAATCATTTGTCTATCGGATGCGCTGAGTGCAAAACTCAGAAATATTTTAAAGCATCAACCAGATAGGTGTTAAATGAATAACAAATCAATATCAAGGCATAGTGGTAAAAATTATAAGAGTTTGCTGCCACATTTATTCCCCAACGCATTTTGTTGTTCTATTGTACTCATTTCAACTAGCATATTTGAAATTATCTGATTGCCGATGAACAATTCCGCTGTTGATGTTGGTGTTTACTCGCTTAAAATTAGTTGTTGATATGATAGTAACCTGCTCAGGAAATCAAAATACACTGATTTATTCATAACAAATCGGTAATCGAAAATAAAGTGATTTCTGACACCTGTTTTAGCCGTACAACATTGCAAGTGTCCAGCATTAGTTGAGGCTGATGAAATCGAATCAGACTACTACGCTCTTGATTGTATTGCTAAAAAGTGTCGCAAAAATCTTTTTCTATGATAGGTTATGATTAATCGGGTTTGCATGCTGCTGGAGTCGTCCAGGCGATTGATACTTCCGGGATATCAGCCCCGTAGAAGTTGTTTCTGTTACGTATCAGAAGCAGAAAAGGGATTCGTTTTATGTGACTACAGAGCCCAAGAGACATGAATTTGAAGCCGACCATATGCAGTTTGAAATTCAAAGTTGGTTGATCTAACGCCGGAACCTATACTACCGACAATGGAAGACTAAAGAATAGAAAGGAATGTGCTATTTTCGAGCAGAACTTTTATAACCCACCCTTTAATACAGAGAATCTATCAGCACAAACTGTTGTTCATTTGCAGGAAACTGTTGACACACTCGGTGAGACCTCTACCATATAGTAAGTTATTGATACTATAACGATAACTTATTTTAGTCTTACCTCTATCCTAGAAACCCTTCTACCTCAGTAGGAGCTCTCAAACAGCACAGCTTCTGCATTACGGCAATATGCAAGGTCAGTCACTATGTAGCAGGTAGCGGTTTACCCATATCAGTACGTAAAGTCAAAAGATGATCACAAAAAGCACTACATTTCATGTATATAACTAGAGAAGCAACAAACATGGTTCATTAAATATCATGTGGTAATGAAGGATTTATCACTGACTACCAATTTTTCGATATGTTCAGAGTTGTGTGCATCTATTTTCCCTAAAATTCCTTCTCATATCCCAATATTTCAAACATCTTAGCTAGAGGAAGTTAACTAGTGAATAGAATGATGAATGGTGAAAGTTCTCCGTATAAATATTTAGTATTTTATCTGGTTGTGCTAACCACACTACTGGCTATTATTAAGTAGTTTAAACTACATTAGCAATTTAGTTTAGAAAAATTCACAGGTGGGTCACAGTACGATGAAGTCACATTTTTTCTTAAAGTAGTTGTTTTAGTTCATCAGTTAAGCCTTTCCAACTTGAGAGTCTTTTTGGAAATTTAATCACCTCAAGTTGGTGCTTACCGCTGAATGATATCAGTTGGAGAACCATCGAACTATCGAAAACCTGATAGGATTAGGCAGCTGATTCATCCTAGCATAGGGCTCATTAACAGTACGCACCCATCACCTTCAGGTTTCAAAGTGAGCACTTAGCCATCAAGCCTATGGGTCGGAACCCAGTGAAATACATTTTCCTACTTCTACCATATTGCTCAACTTTCATCCAATGTCATCGATGACTGTTTGTCCTCACGTCCCACTTGATTTGCCCCACCGGTCACAACTTAACGTTAGAACTTCAGGAAATCTCATCTCGAAGCCAGTCAATAACGAGGTCTAGACAATAATTCAATTTGGAAGTTTGTGAGGATCTACTAATTTCAAGTTTTCATTCATCACAGACTGACATTAGATAGAGAACTATTGGAAACCTAGTGGCACTGGACAGATGTTTTTAGTAAACCGAATAGTTTAGCTATTTGGTTCAACTTAAATTTAAATCTTGCTGGTGAAAACTAACCAATCAGTGCTTCGATTACTGTAAATGAACAACATTTATGGTGGATAAAAACTTAATAGAATATTTAAAAAATGTATACAAGTGTGAAAACCTCGCCTGGTTAACTAGTACACTAATTACTAGCCGGTCCCTAAGCCCGGGTAAAGAGGGAAGGTTGGGCATACAGCTAGCAACAAACTTCAAAGCACAAAGGAAATGTAAAAATAAAAACGAACTTGTTCCTCGATGGAATCGGACAGACGAATGACGCCGGTTGGTGAAAGCCTACGGGTAGCCAATTGGCCGATATGTCTTCTCTCGATGAAAACAAAAGTAAACATGGGGACATGGAATGTCCGCACAATGTTTCAACCTAGCAAGGTTTCCCAGATTCCCCAGATTATCCTCTAAAAATCATTGAGAGGAACATGAAGCCTAAAAATCATCAGGGACGAACCCTCAAGGTTCCAAAGAATATTGAATTTAAAGATTACGTAAAGCACCGAGAGAAACTATCTTTTCTAGCCTATCTTAGATTATTTTCTTCAGTCAACAATTGATTAAGGGTGTGCGAAGGATAAACTACCGTCTCAATATGCGTCCGCAAATTTACCTCCTCCTTTAGAGCTGGCTACAATTGCCCTACAAAGTATGTTACATTCAAATGGATCTCTGAACCTTATCATGTGCTGCTGTCTACACGAAAGTGCAAATAGACCAATAGCTCGATTCCTGGACATCTGGTTAACTTTAGTCACTTAACTTCACAGTATTATTTACTTGATGACATTTCCAGCATAAACTACTATTGCTCATAATCATATCAGTATGGTCACACTCCTTTCGATATGTGATTTATATGGTCCTGTCACCAGATATTCTTTGTTTTTATTGATAGTAAAGTTTTCCATATATGTGGTATAGGGGTTGGGTCATTCCTATTACATGTGTTAGGTGTTGATTCGACAAACAAAGCTTGAGTAATCAACCTCTCTCTACCTACCTACCTACCTAATCGCATTAGACTTCAGTACAGTGGTTTTATCCCACCCTATTGTGTGGTTGTATATTGATGCATCCATGTATGCACCGACAGACAGTGGTTTGGGTAACACCGTCCACAGGAAACTGACACATTCTAACAGGTATCTAGACTTCAGGTAATCTCATCCATCATCATCCATCTAAATGATAGAGCTAAAAAGCTCACCAGTCATTGTAAGGACTTAAACAAGGAATTGAAACATATAAGAGAAGATATAAAGCGCACAGTGATACAGTATTATTTAATTCAATTCAATTAAATAATACTGTATCACTGTGCGCTTTATATCAAATAAACAAATCTAATATGGAACTACATTCTACCACAGTGCCCAAGTTTTTCACTTATATAAGAGAAGAGTTGATAAGAAACAAAATAATAACAATGTTAAGAATACAAATAATGGTAACAACACGAGTAGAAGGGAGTTCACAGCCTCCATTGTGTTACCCTATTAGGAAAGTACATCAGAAAATTTACGTAAGATTCTCAACAAGGCTGGAATTAGGATGGTATTTAAACCTACAAACTCACTCAGAAATAAGCTTCGCCAACTTAAGGATCCGATAGATTCAATTAAGCAAAATAATCTGACCTACCAAATTCCATGTAATAACTGTGAGGTCAAATACATAGGTCAAACTAACCGGTCGGGGTCAATTCGAGTGGCGGAACATAAGAATTTAGCCAAACATAGAATGACAGACCTGAGTGAAATCAATAAACCAGAAAGACACTTGGCTATTGCAATGCGTGCATTAACCCACAACCACACAATAGGGTGGGATAAAACCACTGTACTGAAGTCTAATGCGATTAGGTAGGTAGGTAGGTAGGTAGGTAGGTAGGTAGGTAGGTAGGTAGGTAGGTAGGTAGGTAGGTAGGTAGGTAGGTAGGTAGGTAGGTAGGTAGGTAGGTAGGTAGGTAGGTAGGTAGGTAGGTAGGTAGGTAGGTAGGTAGGCAGGTAGGTAGGTAGGTAGGTAGGTAGGTAGGTAGGTAGGTAGGTAGGTAGGTAGAGGTTGATTACTCAAGCTTTGTTTGTCGAATCAACACCTAACACATGTAATAGGAATGATTCAACCCCTATACCACATATATGGAAAACTTTACTATCAATAAAAACAAAGAATATCTGGTGACAGGACCATATAAATCACATATCGAAAGGAGTGTGACCATACTGATATGATTATGAGCAATAGTAGTTTATGCTGGAAATGTCATCAAGTAAATAATACTGTACCACTGTGTGCTAGCTGTATAGAACAAACAAATCTAATATGGAATTATATTCTATCACAGGCCCAAGTTTTACACATATTAATTGGTCCCTAAACGTAACACAGCAGAAACCTCAGCGATGCATTAGTTCACACCTGATATCTGTATACAAGAGAAATATGTTCAATATATCACTCCAACTTGGTTATAATCTTTAATTATTAGTAATAAATGTTACGATTTTCATAATCTTTTCTTCACTGTGTAATTGCGAATTCTGATCTTCCTACTTTTGTACAACTTTTCTTACCACCTCCGTAGGTGTCTAGATTATTATGCAATCATCATGTAATTGTCAAAGTAATTAACTAATACGTTCTAAACAGATTTTTGTTCCCATATTATTATCATGTATGAACAACATGGTCTGATCTATTTACACTCACTATATAAACATGCGATAACATACAGATTTATTCTCTGTAGGAGCAACTTCCACGAGGTGGCAAAACGTCAGAAAGTTATTTTACTACCTCATTGGGATTTTATTATTAGGATAAAGAAATACATTTAAGGTTGGTTTTCAACTTGGACTGATATAAGTTGGAGGAACACCGGAAACCTGGGAGCACTAGACAGCTGTTTCGTCCTGGCACAAGACTCCTCGGTAGTGCGCACCCAAGACCTTCAAGTTCCGCTGCCAACATGTTACCAACTAATCTCAGCCCATGATGAATACCAACATGAAATCATTAAATTCCCACAAGCCTTCATATTGAAATACATTTAAATCAAACTTACTCCAATTATATAAGGTGGGAAAACGTGAACTTGATAAGGTACATTTGACCATTGAATTTGAAATACAGACTTGAATTCATGATATGGTGAAACAATAGTGAATGAATCATCACGTCCAATGCCTAGAAATGAACATGAACCTGGCAACAGAGGACAATAATACTGATGATCATTCGAACAGGAGTTATTGTCACTATCTGTGATATTTGAAGTAGACTGATGCACTGCGATTTCTGTACTGATAGATAAATTTGCTGATAAGGATGTATTGAAATGATATCTGTTAGGCAGAGATGACTGAATAACTTCATCCAGATTAGATAAATGTAAACAATGGGGAAGTGAAGCGACTATTGGTAACTGGTTCCTACCAGGAGCTGAAATGAACTGAATCTGTGTATTAAAAAACAGAGAAGATAAAAAATAAAGGTTACTACAAATGAAAGAATCAGGAAACGATAAACAGCTAAAATGTTGTATTGCTTCTTTTTAAAACACTGGTGCAAATTGATGATTAAAAACCATCTAGCTTAAACAGTTCGCAGCAGAAAAAATGCGATGAAATAATAAGTCAAAGGAGGAATGTTTTCATCATGAGTAATTACAGGTACCCGGACAATATTCTCACTGGTCGTTCAACTTTAGTAACTAGAATAGAGTAGTGTGAATCAACAATGATTTCCTTGCTTCTTTAAAGATTGAATGTACCACGAATGTACTACATCAGAAAACCAGTCATGGTTTCGATCAATAGAATATGGATAGTTGACTTGACTAGACACATAATATTAAAAAACTAGTCAGTCGATTTACTAGTTGCACAGTATTTTTTAACCATTTTCACCGTGGAAAACTTTTTCAGCAACCCAGTTATCATAACAATAAGATAAACCGCTGGCTAATAATTGAGCGGTTGGATTTATTTAATATGGTTGATGGACGATGCTGACTGATGCAAGTGGTACCTGATTAACTAAGTTGACTGGTAGTAGATCTTTCTTACAATGTGTACATTGAAGAAGAAGAAGAATGGGAAGACGGAGATTCATTCAACAAAGATGTACACAGTCGTGCAGTAGGCAATATGTATTACGCGAGAACTAACAATTCTACCTAGGTGACAGACCTCGATAGATAGGGCAGGGTTCGAATTCGTCGCTCATCGGTTGAAAAACATGTGCTTAAGCCAATGAACCATAGCTCTACTTAGTAAAGTGGCTATCTGTCAAATGGTGTTCCCAGTAAAGCATACCTCTTCATCATTTAAATTTTTCGTTCCGTAAATAAAAAAAATATGATCGAGTTGCATTTACGTAATTCTTAAACTTGCTCAACATTAAGAAATACAAAGCTATGTAAAATCTCTCGAAATTGTGCAACTGAAAGTAAACTCTTAGGTAACTTTACTTCATTTCGCATTCATTTAATTCCTATAGGTTAAAACGTACGCGTGCATTTCTCAAAGTCAACTTAAATGATTCTGTGAGAGTTGCATGAACTTACCTATATCATTTTACGATTACGCTGGTGCAAACCTTTCAAGCATACACTGGAATTTACAAATTCATTTTGATTTGACAAGACCAGCAGATTACTTCTTTATAGAAAAAATTTGATTGCTTTTATAGTCAGTATAGGTCTTATTTTTAAATATGCACTCAAATTCAGAACCTGAAAACTTCTTTTCCATAAGGATCTAATTGACCTTGTGTAAAATGCGAATTTAATGCTTTTCGAAAATAGTTGGCATGCATGCCTACCTCTTAAATGTCACCTGTCACGAACTTTGGTCGACGTATACAATACTATATGTTTTTTAGACAGGTGAAAGGAACCACAGATAACATACAGCTATGGTTGGAGGGTTGCACTACTCAAGTAAAACTTAAAATAACAGTAGATAATTTTATAACTGAATCCCATATCTGAGTTAGTCTACTTGAAAAGCAGTTTCTCACTACACTTCTACACCATACATCACCATACACTGGGGCGATGATCCCTTAGGATACGAAATATCAAAAAATAACATTAATATAAGCGTAAAACATGGGCACTGTGGTCGAGTGTAATTCCATTTCAGTCTGTTTAGTAGAAATATCACACAGTGAAACAGTAGCATTTACTGGATAACGTTTCGAACATAATTTATTGTCCATATTCATATCAGGTAACTCCACAACTTCGAGACAGTCTTTATATATTCCCAGTTTCCTCTCCTTCTCTGTGATGACAAGGGTAGTAGAATTTTCCATATATCTGGGATAGGTGCAGCATCATTTCGATTGCATGTATTTGGTGTTGATTCGATAAGCAAGGATTCCGTTATTAATCTCTCCCTCCACCCAACTAAGTTAGTTTTTAACACTGTCACCCTATCCCACCCTACTGTGTGATTGTGTCATCGCATGCAGAGCTGTAGTTATATATATATATATATATATATATATATATATATATATATATATATATATATATATATATATATATATATATATATATATATATATATATATATATATATAATTGCCAAATCGGATAAAGGCAACTCAATAGTTGTGATGAACAAATCTGACTACATCCGCAAGGTGAACGAGCATATAGAAACAGGACCATATGAGGAAATTAAGAAGTCAGTGGATACTATTATGAATAAGGTCAAGAAATCGACAAGGGATCTGATACGCCGGATGAAGCCATTTCTAGGTGAGTCAAAGTGGTTTAATTTAATGCCGAAAACTAATAATCCCAGTAGAATGTATGGTACTATTAAGATTCATAAGCCAGGTTATCCCATCAGGCCTATAGTAGATTTTAGAAACACTCCGACTTACGAGTTGTCTAAATATTTAGCAATGGTGTTAGGTCCAATAAGAAATCACTTAAAGTCTCTACTTACCAACTCTTATGACTTAAAGCATAGGTTAGACGGCGTACACTTAGATGACAGTGAAAAAATGGTTAGTTTTGACATAACTAGCCTTTACACAAACATACCGATTGATATGGCTCTGGAGACAGTTCGAAATGGACTTAAAGATGACAAAGAACTTACGCAGCGAACTAAGCTGCCGATCGAGGAAATCATACTAGGAGTACGATTGTGCCTAACATCTACAGTTTTTAGGTTTCAAAATAAACAAACTGAAGGTGTTGCCACGGGATCACCAATATCCCCTATCGTCGCAGACATATTTATGGATAGTTGGGAACAGGTAGCCCTTCAAACATTTAGTCCTACTCCACAGATATGGTTCCGATATGTAGATGATACATTCACAGTACTGAAATCGGAACATATCAATAGGTTCTTGGCACATATAAATTCAGTAGTAAATGCAATCTTATTTACCTGTGACTTAGAAAGTGAAGAAGGTGAACTAGCAATGTTGGATTGCAAGATTAAACGAACACAAGAAGGAAATCTAGAGACTAGCGTCTATAGGAAACTAACCCATTCGAATCGCTACTTAGACTTCGAATCCTCCCACCCCATTTCAGTTAAAGTAGGCCTAGTTAAATGCTTAGGTGACAGTGCGAAAAAGCTTACTAGTAGATCGGAAAATCTGCGACAAGAAATTAGACACATCAAGAATACCCTACGTCTCAATAATTGCCCACCAAAATTTATAAATAAATTCACAAGAAATCGAAAGAAAAACACCAGCAATAATAATAGTAGTAGTAGTAGTAATAATAATACAGGTGCCGTTAACAATAATCCCACTACTAATGGGAATAATAGCGACAGGGTTAGGAGAGAATTCAAAGCCTATGCTGTGTTACCATACAAGGAAGGCACCTCAGAAGCATTAGGAAGAATTCTCAATAAGGCTGGGATTAAAGTGGCATTCAAACCAACAAACTTGCTTAGAAACAAGCTTTGTAGGTTAAAAGATCCAATCGACGCAATTAAGCAAAATAATCTGGTTTACCAGATTCCTTGCAATGATTGCGAGGTCAAGTACATAGGTCAAAGTAGTCGACTAGGGTCGATTAGAATAACAGAGCACAAAAACTTAGCTAAATCAAGATCAGTAGATCCTAACAAGATAAGAAATCTAGAGAAAAACTCGGCTATAGCTCTGCATGCGATGACACAATCACACAGTAGGGTGGGATAGGGTGACAGTGTTAAAAACTAACTTAGTTGGGTGGAGGGAGAGATTGATAACCGAATCCTTGCTTATCGAATCAACACCAAACACATGCAATCGAAATGATGCTGCACCTATCCCAGATATATGGAAAATTCTACTACCCTTGTCATCACAGAGAAGGAGAGGAAACTGGGAATATATAAAGACTGTCTCGAAGTTGTGGAGTTACCTGATATGAATATGGACAATAAATTATGTTCGAAACGTTATCCAGTAAATGCTACTGTTTCACTGTGTGATATTTCTAATAAACAGACTAAAACGGAATCAAAAAATAACGCCTTACAATCACATCAGCTAACATTCCTTTACACGCTTAAATCTCACTACTTAAGGTAACACTATTTATCAGTCAGTTCCAGCAGATATATCTGACGTATAAATGATAGATGATTTGCAACCTTCATACAAGTACACAGTTTAAGATCAATTATTTAATCGTAAACTTCAATGAGATACACTTTTAAGCTGCAAACTCATCTTCCAACAAGCATATATATATATATATATATATATATATATATATATATATATATATATATATATATATATATATATATATATATATATATATATAATTTAAGCTATAGCATAATGATCTCAAAACTATTACAACCGCTAAGGATGCAAGAATATCGACCGTTAACCAACAACTTTTAACAAGTTCCTAGTTGATCCCTGGCCCGACTGATTAATGGAGACGATATAGTGAGATGTATAAGAACATGTATTTAAGTCGGAGACAAAAGTCAATTAACAAAGGAGAATACAACCAAATATACTTAGAGTCTAACGTTAGAAGTAATAATACTGATTAGCTTGTCTATGGTCTGTCAGTTTAACTATGGACGTGATGAACACGAAGTACATTTTGATAGGTCCATTTCCGGACTAGTCTTCTTTACTTCATCTCCATATCACATGGACAGTGCAAACTGATGAACGTTAGTTAGCTAAAATACTGTTCATAATCACCTCGATAGAGTTCGTCCACACAACTCGACAATTATTTGCCAAGCTGTGAGCTGTTCACCCAACAAGCAAACAAGTAGATACCTTAACTCATTTTCACTTCTTATTATGAATATCAAGAGAAGATGAAGACAACTCCTAAAGAATTTATTTGAATATCACAAGTTTAGTATTCATATCAAACTATTTCAAATAACTATTACAAAGTATATGCACAGTATTCGTTCAGAAGATCTGAATAATATAAAAATGAACATAAATCAATAAACGTTTATAAGACGATGTACACTAAGGAGCTACGAACCATACTCACTTCGTAAAGACAACAGCTACTACCACCTTGTTGAACAGACTTAGAGTTGATAGAGAGGGGTTCGAACTTATCACTTACTAGGCTGAAAGCTGTGTTTGATGTAGATACTAATAGTAATATATTAATGATGGACACTGGCTAGCTGTGAAATGTAGGATGCGTGTTTCGTCCTGTTCGGGGCTCATCAGCTGGATTTACTTGCCTCCCAGTGAGGGGTGTTGTTCCCACTAGGACTCGAACTAAAGCAATATCGAGGCACCCACGCAGGAGCCTATACGTCAATAGAGACCGATCAATTAGGTCCACTCAATCAATGACGGGACAATACCAGCAACAGCATTAGAGATAGCAATAGTCTAAACATTTATCGTATACTGTCTAAGTGTGTTCAGTATTTATTTTCACATAAATTTTAATTTTCGAAATTGCCAGCTATATTTGATTTGTATATCCTAAAAATCTTGATAATCCATTCATTATAATGACTTTTTTATGTATCATAATAAACATCGAATATACTGTATCATGTGACGGCGATAAAGCTTTAATAGTTTTCAAACAGAATCAATAATTAGTGTGCAATGCTATAACAGGAGTTGTAATTTTTATCCTTAAAGAAAGAACAAATAATTTTTCACTTCAGTATGAGGAGAGATATTCGCTACTGAAAACAATCATAAAGTATTACAAAAGGAATACCATAACAAGCAGTATCTTATTAAATGTGATTCTACCATGATGTGAACTGACTGATAGTTGAAGATTAATCAATTTCACTTCATCGATATCTATATATTGACCGAATTTTATAGATTAGGTCTGCAATGTAATCACTTACCTAGGAGATTCGTCACAATGATTCATTTTAATTAATGTGTTGCATTTAAAGGTGATCGATAAGAAACCATGAACCTGGTGAGGATTCGGATGTCTAAGGAGGAGTTATCGGCGTTAAGGTCGCTAATATGTCATGGTGAGACGCACGAAACCTATATCCAAAGAACTTCCTACAGACTACCTTCTCAAATGTAAAATTTGATCAGATGTTCTCAGGTGTGAACACAACTATTTAAACATAGAAATCAGCTGATACTATCAATGCACTCATCTTTCATGGTTAATAAAGATGCTTTTTCCATCGTATACTGAGGTTTAAACTGAGGTCCTTTCATAAGTCCAAAAGGCATTAGTTGATTTTCGTTAGCTTAAGACATTTGACGCACAACAGGCAATACATAATAACGACCAACCATAAAGTATAGTACTGACATTCATTACATTATACACATGCAAAACATTGTTGTGAAATGGTCAAGAAGGATTTCGATAGATTTGAAGCACGGTTTACACTTATTACATCGATCACATGGTCGAAAGCCTGGTTAGGTGAGAGGTTTTATAGAACGGAGTCAATTTAAAGTTGGTATTCATCATGGACTGACACCAGTTGGAGAAACATTGGGAACCCGGGAGCACTGGACAGCTGTTTCCTCCCAGTAAGGGACTCCTCAGCAGTGCGCACCCATGGCCCCTCCAGAGGCCGATCCCACAACTTTCAGGTTCCGCGGCCAGCATGCTACCATTGATCCACTGGATCCTGGGCTCAGTCCCTGGCAGGGTCACGGGTGCGCACTGCTGAGGAGTCCCATGATAGGACGAAGCAGCTGACCGGTGCCCCATGGTTTCCAATATTTCTCCAACTGAAGTCATTCCATGACGAATAGCAACTTGAAATCAATAAATTCCCACAAACTCCTAGATGGAGATAATTTAGTTGGTTTGAAAGGGAAATTCAACCGACTGAACTAGTCACAATAGTTTTCCATAACTCCCAAAACCAGGTTAGGACATGAACCGTATGGAAAAAAATCAAAAGCGTTTGTGGAGAAAGTTATGAAAGCAACCTTTGTTATCCCCAAATGCAGTAGTAAATGTGACTTGCAAAGCACAAGTTTGTGAATTTCATCCATACTTCAGAGGAATAGAAAAACTAAATACAATTCAAACCGTACTGAAGTCATGGAAATGCCTATACGTATAGGAATTACATCTTATCGGGCATCCGGTAAAACAATAAAAGCAAACCTAATTTATTTTCACCAGTTTAAAATCCTTTATAAAAAGTTTTTCTTCAATCAACTAAACTGGAATATGAAAACCGTTAGGATTTTTGATTGGGAATAGAATCAACAGCGTAAATTTCTTACGATTAAAAAATTCCCAACTGGAACATGGTAAGTAGAATATCAGTTGGTGAAATATAACTTGGGACTTCAAGATTAGAGATAGTCTTACCAGTCGGCATTCACTGGGGACAGTGAATATCTAGTCAGTCCTTTCTCAACGCACAAAAAATACATTGAATATCCAGAAACCAAGTCATCTAACTTAATAGCCATATTACAAACTTGGTAGATGGAATGCGGTTAGAACTGAGCGTTTCACTGAGAAGTTATATCAAGGTTTGTATGACATGGGAGATATTGTCTATGATATTTAGATGGCCGAAATAACAACCTGTTGACCTTGTGTCTTGAAGTTTAATCCACAAAGTATTTCAGTAATGGTTGCCATCGGCCATGGCATTTACATGTTTGTTGTCCTATGGTATGTTTCAGGAACAACTTTAATATACATCTTTGAGTCAGTCAATGTACTATTTTATCTGGCCCAAGTTATTATTTCCTATTTCCGTTGGTTAGTTTAATTGCCATGTGAGAACTATATTCTAGCACAAACTAAAAGAGAACGCCAAAACATTGCGCGTGCTCACAGTGAATAATGATGTAAGTGAGAAAAATACATGGAAAGGATAGAATACTACAGGTGGTCGAATCAAGTTATGCAAAAAAGGAGTTAATAAATAGATCATAAGATGGTTAGTTGACTGTTAGTTTCCATGATTATATAGGTACTTGCAGGTTCAATATGTTGTTTCTGTAGGTTAGGCGTATCGACAGTTTGAGATGACAACTTTTCAGCCCCTTCATAACCACTAATTCAAACTGATTAGATAAGTAAACAATGATATATTAGTATAAAATTACCAACATTTATCATTGGATATAATAGTAAACGAAAACTATTTAATCTAACCAAATAAGCATACCTCTCCAGTTAAAATATTGACCAGAAGATATTCACCTCTATGACCAATAATAAGTTTTGATAAACCACAAAATTCAAGTGAACGAACTACTTCTGAGATAATCAATTCAGTTGGCCATGATGGAGTGATTAGGTCGTTTATACCTCCAGGATATATGAACTCACGTGTTTTGGGCTCCCATCGCCAAAAATGTAAATGACGTTTGACAACAACACAAATTCGTAATTCTAAATTATTTGATTTTGAATATTCATTCAGATTTGTTTCATTAGTATTATTATCACTATGCGTAGAAGATAACTGTGGTACATCTAACCTCATTGAATCTTCTATACCAAAAAAATAATAATAGTTTAATCATATAAAAGTAGATAATTATTAGTCAGTGAAAAATTATATAAACATCAATTGAATTTCAACCTTTGATTCAGTTTTACATTAAATAATTAATAAAGCGTGTAACCACTGACAGATATGTTTCTCTACGGATGATTGAAGATTATCTTCAGTCTTATTTGGACATAAATAACGTATGGTGATCATCACTTAGAAGTACGTTGTATATTATTTCCTATATGGGATTCGACAGTTAAATGACAGTTTTCTGATTTTGTAGACTCCATTAGTCCAACAGTATTATATATTATTAGTATTATATCACCAGAATAGCAATTACATAGATGTTTTGTTAGCGAATGTTACTTTTAAAAATGTATATCTCTGATCACTTCCAGGATATCATGGCTGATATATTGCCTATTGGGCTATGTCCTACATTGACTGAAGTCTCAGAAAGCTGATATAGTATCCTGCATTTCTCATACCACATCGGGTTTCTGAAACTTTAGTCGATTTACGTCATCGCGCAATAAGTAATGTAACATATTAGCGGTCCGTGGAGTTTTGGCTCTTTGGTCCAGGAAGATGACTTTCAATCTATAGGCCACCGGGTCGAACACCGCTCCACCTACAGAGGTTTGGGTAACCAGGTGATAATCATACGCCATCGCTCTATCTACTGCACGAATGTGCACAAGATAGCTGAGTGGATTTCGATTCATTTCGATCTTACGATTCAATATAATTGGATATCACAATTTGTCATAGACGCAGGTTATTATGCATGCGATACTATGAAGGGATTATTGTAAAGCATTGTTGAGTAAACCAAAACTGGGATAAAAACAGTGAACAGGTCTCAATTTAACTGGCGAATAAATCATTGTTAACTGAAACGAAAATCTTGAATCTACATTCTATACACACAGAATTCCACTTGAGGCTACAAAAAAGAAGGGAAAGAAACAACTGCAGTGGACGACCTGATAAGTCCAAGATAAAAACCGAATTAATCTTGGTGTGAGCATGCAATCCGGACATCATGGTCAAGTATGATTTCATATGAAAATAAGTTTCCTTGATACAACACATAACCAAACAGTATCAGTCTACTAAAGGACATGATAGTTACCACATAACCTTTTAACTTACTTCACATAGTTCGATTACTTTTCATTCACTGATTCTATTGATAGTAGAATATATTTAATGCTAGGGATTGATGGCAAATTATTCCTATGGATGTTAATTCGATGAGTAGAGATAAATTGATTAAACTATTCTGATACCTAAATACTTTGATCCTTAGGGTTATTAAACTGCGCAGACCTATTGTATGATTAGGCATTAGTGCATGCACAGCTACAGTTGAGTACCCTCTTAAATAACTTATCTTCGTGGGGTCTATATATCCAGATTCTAACTAAGTTATCATGCTTTAATAACTTGATTTACTCCAGTCGCTTGGTTTGACGTATGTAATTAGTTTCAGAGTTATTATATGATACGTGACAGAACAAATGATTTTGTTTAACCGGATCAACATATTCTCAATTGTTAGATGTTAACAGTCATTCAATAAGAGACTGTAAGCCTGGGTTTCATCCCTTTTAGCACTCATCAGCAGGGCATATCTAAAACCATGAAGAAACTGATGTTCCCTTGTTGATTCGAACTTGTGTCACTAAGAAACCTGATCAATACACCTTGTCACCAAACATCTACGTCCAGAGCTTCGTGATGCTTGAATTTTAAAATCTAACACCAAAATACAATAAACCACAGCGTTGTGTCACTTAGCTTAATGGCAACAAGGTCAACTTCATCGACAGACTTCAACCAGTGCTAAACACAAGAATTGATAACTCCATTAATGACCCACACCTATTGCGTGAGGGTTAATGATACAACCTGCGTGACCTCAGTAGGTGAAACGCAGATCGAACCCGTGAATCACCCGTTGGGAGTTAGCTCCTTTAAGCCAATAAGCCACAGCTCCACTGACAACTATATCAGCTACTATCTAGTGACTGGTTTATGAAAAATATCTAGGTAAAGTTTGCGCCAAGTAGATTCATAAATTTGAATACCATTCTGATATCAGCCAGATCATGAAGAATTTCTTGTGTTTCTTCCTTATACGACAGAAACCTTAGAGGTACTAAATACCCTCTTAGTTTAGATATAATCGCTGCTCACACTTCTTTTCTTATGAATTCTTAAGATGTTCTGAATGAGTTATAGAGGATAGTTGTTGAGCAATAATGTTGGTATTGTATGTTTCACTACTATATTTGAATTACGTGATATACTGGCCGTAATTTAAGTTCGATCAGTTAAAAGTTCGACCACACTTGACATTAATAAGTCCGAAAGTAGGCCCGCGAAGAAAACGACATATTCTATAGGATGCAGTAAGTTAAACACACTCCACTCATTTTACTACGGACAGGCACAAACTAATAAAGTTTAAGAATAAATAAATAAACGTGATCATAACTTAAGCTGATATTAGAAGCATTTATAGATGAACAGTAGAATGAGTTAAAGAGAGAAACTACAGTTTCCTTTTTGCCTAAAACTTAGTTGGCAGCTTGAAAATCTAGGAAAATGATTGACTTATTACACGTTAAAAGTATTGAAAGACAAAATTATTACAACAGCGCAGATATAACAGAAAACCGACCCAGTGGCTGAATGGTTAATGCGTTCGTCGTGAAACCTAAAAGTCCTGAGTTCGATCCCTAGCTTGGTCGTGGGTGCGTACTACTGAAAAGTTCAGTACTCCCAGATTTTCAATGATTCCCCAACTGATATCATTCCGTGATGAGTACTACCTCTAAAAAAGGTATTCATTTAGTTTGAACTTATTATGATCTCTAGACACTTGAAGAAAATCCCATAAGAGTACAAAATATATGATCTTTGCTTCAATATGTATTATAGAGATGTATCTACAATCCTGAGGAAACTCATCTTTTATCACTGTACCAGCCAGTCCGGTGAGGGTAATCGATATCATCACTCAAACTTTGTGTGGAGTTGAATAAAATATGTTAATTGTACACTGATTAACTGGCAACATATTGTTTAGTCCTCAAGGTTCATCAAGATCTATTAATCAGGTTGGCAATAAAAACAACTAGGTAATCTCACTACTAGCTACCATCCATCATTACTATTAAGTTAACTGGTTAAACAGTAAGTATTGTGGTGTGTAGATAATGTTAGATAAAGGTAGACGATTGGTGAATATTGGCAAAATGATGAACGAAATTTACTCTACTCTAAGCTAACAGATTATTTAGTGGTCAATTTTAATGGATGTTAGGAAAACTTGTTTTAACGATACCTCATTAACCTTTAAAATAAGCTAAAAACTAGCTCACATAAATAATTCTCTTCGAGATGGATTTCTCAAAACTCTAAAGAGGAAACTTAACTATGTTGGTGGTTTGGTATTCACTGAGCTTTGATATTTTGTCGTGGATTGTTCATCACAAGTGAAGCATATTCGAATATTACACGAATGTTTTAAAACACCATTTAAATATTCGTGTAATATTCGAATATGCTTAACTTTTTTATGAGGTTAGTGCTGAAGATGTCATTGAAGCTTAGTGATCAAACGTTCACAACAAAATATCAAACCTCAGAAAACATCCAATCGCCATCATCCTCATTCTGAGTTACAAACCTTTCCCATTACTTCAAAAGCTCAACTATATAGAAATAATGAAGTCATGTGTCTGAAAATTTATTCACTGATGATGTTAGATGATAGTCACGATATTTTGTGAATCGATGAAGTTTCGAAAATCAAGCCACTTGATTCCAGCCCAGCGTTTAGATGCCTAGATGCTCACCATACGACCTGACGATCTTCAGTTTGATTCCACTCAGTGATGTGTAAACATTACTGAGGAGTACTAAATTAAGATGAAATAACTATTTAGTGACCTTAAGTTGGCAGAGGTTTTTTAATTGATGCCGAATCGTGATTTTAACCAAAAACTATGGTCAAAACAGTTGGTGGTTCGATGGTGACATATTTGATACGAAGTCTACATATTTTAGATTGAATCTCAGAAAAAGATTTTAAGGTAGACAGCTACAAATCCTGAAAACTAGAAGAGAATAAGTTCTTACCACTCTCTGATGATTCACAATGGTTTTACAAATAATACTGATATGAAAACTAACATTAAATATTTGACATTACGTCATAAACCCTGGAAGTGTTAAGATAAAACGTTTCTCATCACCAAGAAATAAAATAAAAGCTCTACTAAATATTAATGTATCTAATCTAGCTAACAATTACCTGATACATTGAAGGATGATACAGTCGACATTTTTGAATATTCCATACAATAAGCAAATAGTGAAGCTCCTTTGCTGTTTGGAACAGTTGTGATCAGTTGACAGTTAGGTAGTTGATAAACACTCATACGACCTTCTGCAAGCGCCAGTAAAATATTAAATTCAGCGATAGCAGCAAGTTGAGTGATAGGTTTTCTGCCTAGAGTACGAGTAATTTTCACATGTGTAAAAAAGGAAGGAAGCGGAGAAGGTGATATAGGATCCGAAGAAATTTCCTCCTTGAATGGAATTTCTTTCAGGTGACCATTTAAACAACTTAAACTTGGAATGAAAAACTCATGATGACTAGTAATTTTTGGTGTTAATTCATAGACTAACAGAAGGCCTTGTTTTGTACCTACCAGTAGAAAATTGTCATAACACGTCAAGCATTCAAGTGGATAAGGATAATCGCTTAATAAACGAATTGGTAAAAACGCAGGATACACCATTCTATCATCTAAAATATACAAAGGGGAAAAAGATAGTAATGGTTTAGTGTAAAACGAAATTAGTAGGATTAGAGATATGCATTCAACAGTAATCACAGTAGTGTAAAATACGTACAGTGAAGATAATTACCGTCGAAGAACAGTTGAGAATTGATGTCTTACTACATAATAAAAACATAAGTCAGTCGATGAAGTTGTGAACCTTGATCAAATGAGTTGGTTAGGATATGTATTATAAATGTCGAGTTACCATCTACCTCAATGAGCAAAATTACCTGAAGTAAGATTGGATTGAATAAAATTCAAGGTTAACCAGAACAAGAGGTAACAATAATCTGTAAAACTTTTGACTGTTGACCTCAACCATGTAGGTAAACAAAAGCTGTCTAGTTGAGGTACTCGACGTATTAGAAATTAGTGGTTGGGGACTTCTAGATGGTGTGGTTCCGAATTGATTACATTTGTACACTCTCTATCATTTTTTATCATCATCAAAATTCTGAGTACTTTCATTAATCTTCATTTACCCGTTACCTCAACTCTCATAAACGTTTTTTCACTTAATATTCTTCTTCTTCTATTCCTCTCTCTTTTTGAACTGCTATGAAGTATGGCAAATTCAAATGGTACACTAATGTGAGAGGATTCAAGTTGATGTTGGTCTATGTCATGGCTTTAGTCCACACATCTTCCAGGAATTATTTCAAAAATGTGCAGTAAACTTTGAATTTTCAAATACATACTGAGCTTTAAGTGTATGATTATCTGTCCAGGTCAAGGTCATATCAAGGTCTACAATGGAGTAAAATATCAAACTTTAATCAACATGATAATAATAATAAGTTGCTGACTGTCTTAACAGCATAATGTGCATTGAATGAATGGATGAATAGTAGGACGAAATTCATAGTCAGATAATAATTATGCTAATACTGACTGAATGGACTATGAAAACATGACGATTGGATAAGTCTACATAGTAATGTTATTCAGAGGCTTGACGTTAAAGGTTATTAACACTTGAACTCTAGATCACAAAATAAAATACTCAACCACCTTGCACATATCCGTGCAACAGGCAATGGATCATACCTATTCTGTGAGGGCTAGTGATACTACCTCGCTGCCCAAACCTCAATAGGTAAAGCGGGGTTCGAACCGCTGACCTACTGGTTGATATCCATCCCCCTAGACCACCCACCTTCTAACAAATGAACGAAATAGATATCGTTTTCAAGTTTCTAAAAGGTAGACCACATGTATTACAAATATAGTTTCCTATATGTGTCATAATTATTGCACAGGTGGTCATGATATAAAAAAAATCATAGAAATACTTTCAGCTTCATTTAGCTAGTTTCATCACTTATATCGTTCCGCAATGTATCATTTAAATTCTTCTTTTATGGATCATTTTTGTCTAGTTTTCGTCGATGCACTACACGTTTATTGCTCTAATTACATCTTCATTTCACACAATCATCACTAATAATAATAATAACAATAATAATATAATAATAATAATAGAGTATCGATTTCATCTCAGAAACTGACTAAATTCTCGGTTAAAAACTACTGATCATAATGCTACTTGTAATAATCATAGTTTAATTTCACTTCGATGTAAAATTCGATAGAAACTTGATACAACAAATTAATTGGTCGCTCGAATTTGATGCTGTTTTGAAAATTTTCCCTTCAAATTCCAACTTATTCTAAGTACCAGAAGAAGAGCTGGAGTAAAATATCACATGTTTAACTTGCTTTGCTGTAGAAAAAAACAGGAAGAGAAAAATTGGCTAGACAGAGTGGGAGGAAGATAAGAGAAAAAACTAAGCAGATGGCACTAGAGAAGGGAACTTAATTACTACACAGAATGATGTGAGAATACAGACACCGATAACATCATTTCGCATCCCTTTCTTGATGTTTTGACAACGGATGGGTACCAGTACCATGCTGATCCTGTCTTCCGTATAGGAAGGTGGGTATGAAATGTCGGCCAAAAAAATAGTACACTCATGTCTGTCCTGCGGTATTTGCAGCGCCAGCGGTATGCATTTTTCTCATCCAAGATTAGAACAATCTAGTCTCAATTAAACAATCCTGAAAAGCCCGTGTGTGACATGCCACAAGCAGATGTCCCATGGGCTCTAACGTCAAGCAGAACTACTCCTTTTATTCTTTCAGGTACCCTACAGAAAGGAATTTCATGATGTGGGCAGACAGGAAGCAGCGATCACCAGCATGCTTCCAGCAGTACATGAAAGACAATCAACCATGGCATTTCCGCCTTGCCTTTTTCTCCAACCTTCTCTTCACTTCCTGATGTCGGGATTATTCTCACTATGTGACCACTGTTAAAAAGCGAAGCCAGTAAGAAGTCATTCCTCGTGTCCTAAAACAACGCTTAAAACTTTAAATTCTGACTTCAATGTTTGGACCTTATACCGAAACAGACAACAATCCCCAACTTGACAAAACTCTGGGATCCTGAACCATGAATGCGTGCTGAGTTTTTGAGGCACGTATAAAAGACCCAAGTGTAGTTATTCGCTTGACCTCAGCTAGTCAGTGTGGTAAGTCTGCGAAATTCACTTCGAGTGTCTGGACTCGCTGTTTTAGGTACAGCATTACGTTCTCGAGCAGGAATTGCAATCCGCGACTGAATCAGTCAACAGCCATCTATGTGCTGTCCGGCTGAATGGATCCATAAGAACTGGGAAGGATCGTGAAATCAACCGATGCCTACTCATAATCTCTGCCTACATGCCTACCGACTCAAGTTCCAATGATGCAAAGGATGAATTCTATCAAATGCTGTCAAGTTTGTTACAAGAAGCATGACGTTCAGTTGTAGTCATGGTTTCAGGCAATCTCAATTTTGTAACGATATTCATTTGTTTACAAATAGCACTAACTCCAAAGATTAGGAGAGTTTCACATAGAATCCCACGACATCAAACCAGCGATAGACACCGATAAATCATATAGCCATAACCCATCTTTGGAGAGGACTGGTGAGGGATTGTTGCTCTTTCTGGAGGACCCTTTTGTAATCCCACCACGTATTAGTACGAACACGTGCATGTTTGCACCATACTGGTCGCACGGAACATGCAGTAATGAAACCAGTACGTACTCGACTGCAAGACGATAACGTCAAGTAAGTATTAGGGCAGGAAAGAGATAACTATTTGTTTGTACGTGGCTGCGATTCCCTTCATGATGAAGCCTTGTGTAATGTAGACACAACTGGTAACCCACACCTGAAGGTTACCAAAGTCAGTGGATTTTTATAACCTCATCCGAAATTATTGATGCGAGATTCATCCCAGCTGACTTTAAACACAATGAGAGGTGAAAGCATCTTAAACGTAGACTGACTAAGAGTTTTCGCGACGACCGTGAGCAGTAGTGGGTGATGAAAAAGAAAGACGAAAAAGGAAGTATGCTATAAATAGGTAAAGTTACGAAGGAAGTATGCGTGCTGGAATCAAAGGTGGTCCACTCACACTGCTCTACATCGCTGGTCGTACCAGTTTATACACATCGAGATGGCTTTTGTGACAACCATAGGAAGATCAGCTTGATTACAGAGTATTCAAAGTCCTACAGTTCATAGTTATCCGACGGGCAACTAAGGCTTGAAAACAAAAAAGTTAAGAAAACCAGGCAGAATTCAGACCTGGACAATCCCGTCAGTTTCATCCTCACTCTCTGACAGGTTCCGGAGCTTGGTTATATTTACCGGCGACTGATACTTGCCATATTTCTTGACCTGAATACCGCAATCGACTCTGTCGACTGAGAGGTATTATTGCAGTAAGTAACTACGAATGGAGTGTCAAGCAAGCACCTAACGCTAATAATAGCTCTCTACTCGAAATCAGGTAGCCGCATAAGGGATTACATACATGTAAAAAAGGCCAGTGACGTTCACCAGAGATCCCTACTGTCGTCGCTTCTGTTTAACTTCATTACGGATATTAACATGACTTCAGGTACCTCTAACTTCAGAAAGATAGATTCACTCTCTTAAAGGCATCTAGCTGACTTGATTTTGTCTTGTTAGGTCAAGACGACGACAAAATGTGATCAGAAATCTGGACATATTTGGTATGCATTTCGCACCTGTGAAATGCGTGATGCTCAAGAACTGGTCTGCAGCTACTTCTACACTAGTGAGGGAATGCATTGACTACTTCATTTACTTGGGGAGTTGCATCAGACTTACGAAATCTCAGGTTGGATTCAAAAGGCCCATTTGGTATTTGCCAACTTGCATCATCTTTGCCCCGACTGGAGAGATATACGACTGCCCACAAAGGACGAGCATAATGCACTGCAATTTCCACTGTCCCATTATACTGTTGTGAGACATGGCCATTGAAAGTAGGTGTGAAGAGATTACGGGCTTTCGAGCACAAGCGTCTTCACACCGTTGTCCATGAGTGATAATCATCATACTAGCAATACTGAGGTCAGGAGAAAGGTACTAGGCGAGACAAGCAGGTCGACTGATAAGGTTGTGAACCTTAGCCGATTCGGATGGCTTGGACATGTTCTGCGCATGCCAAGCCACCGCCTACCTCTACGTGCCATGCTGGGAGCAGTTGATTTAGGTTGGAAGAGGGTTCAGGGTGGCCAGATTAGACATAGCACCAGTCCATGAAGTTCATGACTGTTAGTCTAAATCGTGTATGGAGATATTGATTACCGGGCTGGTTGGGGTCCCCAAGACGACATGAATCAACAGTCTGCAAGTCGGTCGCAGTGAAGCAAATGTACCAACTCGCTGACGCTTTCTAAAGCTTGAATATCTATATTAACTGTCATCTTCAGATTGTTTATTCCTTCATACAACTATGTTTACTTTGATATCAGTCTTTTTCTATCCACCTTTTGTTCGTATGCTGCCGTGAAGCGTGACAACCTGAAGCGAAGCACTTGTGTGGAAGGTTGTCTGTTTATTTTGTCCGTGTGTTTGACAACAAAATCTGGCTAATCACGAACATTAACTAAGAAATCAGCAGTTAGTTTCATGAAACGCAACAGCAACTAATGATAAGGCGCACTAGTAGTGATCATCGTCTTTGACATCCTTAGGATACATGCACCATGCTTCTCATCAGGTCTAAACCACAAGTTGACTCACATGACTAGTGGAAGGGCGAATATATGACTAAGGAAACTAAATCGATTAAATTTCAAAACGTAGTAAATTAGTTTTAGTCCTTTGTACGGAATTTCATCTCTAAATGAAGCTGTGGTCAGATGTTTGGGGAAATGATTACCTACCACTGCGTCATGGGTTCAAATCCCGCTCCCCCTAAAGAGGTTTGCGCACTATGATGGTATCACTAGCCCTCACACAATAGGTGTGGCTCATTGCCTATTGCACGAATGTGCACAAGGTGGCTGTGTGTTGTCAACATTGCTCAAACGTTGGTTCTACCAAACGCCACTAATGCTACAAAGATAATTATGATTAACACCCTGCAACCGCTTCATTTCTTCTACTTCTAAGGGCCGTATTTCACAACCGTGTAACAGGAAAGAACTGAGTGCATCGCAGTATGCTCCTAAGTTAATAGGTAGTCAAATATCTCTCCAGTAGAGGTCAAATATAACGCAAGCTGGCAAATGTTAAACGGGTCTTCTGTATCCAACCTGAGACTTCGTCAGCAACCGGCCCGTTCGAACTGATGCAACTTCCTAAGTGAAGTGGTCGACATATTTCATCACTTCACTCGCTATCATTACAGTGGGAGTATTTGGAGCAAACCAGTCCTTGAGCATAATCTTACACTACACAGTTGCAAAACGCATGCTAAAAATACTCAGAATAGCAAAACAGACCAAACTAAAACGCAGTACGTCCGACCCTAAAGGAAGATCGGATATTACGGTGGTGACATGTGTGACGTTAGTTGGCGAAAGTTAGTCGAACCTTTAGTATACAAGCAGAGATTTCGTCGGTCAGTGGGCCATCAGAGCTGATTTAACTTCCTAGGTAAGTGAAGTGGTTGAAACGTTCAACCATTTCAGTGCTTTACATTTCATTTATCAGAACGGGAAAAGGTGACGAAGTAGCGGTAAAGAGACAGTTACAACCTTCGTTACACGTAATGTAATTATAGCAAGAAAATGTGCCAACTTTGTTGAAACTGGTAGGCCGACAGAAAACGCCAGAAGATACAATACAGGCAACAGACTAACATATATGAAAGTGAGACCCATGAATTTCTACTCATTACTTCCACTTGGTCAACATACTCAAATTTTCGAAGCAAAATCCCAATTAGTGCAAACGCCATCTGTAAGAACGCGTATCATCATCTAGATCAGCACCGGAAAACACAAGTCCCAGAAGTCGATTGGTAAAAACTCGGCAGACACAATAAAGAGCAGAAGTTTATAAGGCTAGAACACTGCATGCTGAAATTTCGAGTTAGAGTGTTTGCAAAAATGACTCCAGTGTAATGTTCGATATTTCGCAATTACTGACTGTGACTTTCCACTAAACGATTTTTGCCACTTTACTGGACCTGTTTTCACTGTGAGTGTTCTGTGGACATCTATTGAGTCAAACGGGTGGAAACAATAATTACATAATTATGATACATAGTCTACTACGAAACGAAGTAAACCAATAGATAATTCGTATCACAAGGATACAACTGTCACACTTAGACCAACTTCGATCCCGTTAATTTCTGCTTACAAATAGCAAAAAGCCAGACAGTATTCCCTACTGTTTGCAGCATAAAATATGAGAGACTTACATAAAATGAAACATTAGATTAGAAGATTGAATTGCAGGTTTTAAAATAATAAGAAGGCTCTTAGTAGAGAATTCTTCTTGTTCACCAGATATGATCGGTAATTTTAAGAGTGAAGCCTTGGTAAAACTTTATACTCATTAAGAAATAAAGTCTTTTAAAAATATGTCAGTATTATCAGCATATTCATACAGGTGATTGGGTCGCCTTAGGCAGAGAAAACTTGAGCTACAAAAATTCATAACAAAGTAATGTACGTTGAAATCTTCTAACCTTACTAGACAAACCACGACTAGACAAATACTGCCTTTTGTATAGGTAAATAACACTTGCGAGACCAGATAGTAATATTCTGGACATGGACTCTAGTGACCTACAAATAGTTTTCAAAAATTAGAATAATATTCATTTCGGCACTCTGGTTAACTAATGTGAGAACTTTTCCTTTCATGTTCATTTGCTAAAAGTTCCAGTTTTGAAGAACTCACACAAGTTATACTGTTAATCATAAGAACTGAGGCTGACTTTAAAAAATATCAACACTGCCTTGTCAATAAGCTATCTAGTGGTTATTAGACGCAGTAGTTCTGTCTCCCCTTGTTCTACACGTTTTTTTTTAATGAATACTAAGAAACCTTGACGTCAGATTAATGATCACCGAATAGAGCAGCTAAAAATCTGGGTGTTCCCAAGAATGAGGTTCCTGTGCGAAGCCTGCTTGTTATATGGTGACTTTCCAGGTCTAATTATATCTAAAAAAACTGTGATTTAAAAAATCGACTGTTTTAAGTTATATCAAAGCCCTAGGATAAATGGATGAATACCAGGAACTAATCTGACGACCGATCTTTCCGATCTATCCCATGACGTGTGTCTAGACTGACTGAAAGTCTTTTCGGTTTGTCAAGAGGGAAAGGAGTGACTAAACATTGACATTTCGCATTCTTAACAATGACCGATGTTGCTGTCACCTTTCTTTCTCCCACTAAGACACTTTATTGACTGTCATCACAGAAAATTCAAACGCCATGGTCAAACCGACTCAGAGGTACAAGACCGAAACTAACTACTCGGTCGGATCCTTTGGTAAGTAAATTTAGATAGAATCTAGACGCCCACAGCTCTATCTACTGAAATCATAATCATAAGTCAACCAATCTACAATCCCTAATTCTAAGTAGTGTGAATCCAAATAACGTGAAAAACATATCGCTAGCGTGTATACACTGATTTTGATAGAGTATGGTGGTTTTACGAACGTGAATCATCCTGACCGACGGTTAGAAATTTCTATTAATTGACACAACGATCGTCATTCCCACTGCAGCAACCTTCAATAAGTTATTCTTCTGATTAAACAGACAGAAATGAACGCGTTAAAACATAAAATGCCACATTAAGTTGAGGAAATAATCATGAAAAAAGTTCACGTACAATACGTATTATATGTACATTAATGTGCATAAGTATGTACATATCTTGTCAAACCTTTGGTCAAAATGGCATACAAAAATGCAGAGAACTTGCATTGCATATTTTAAAGCTATTTTCATCCACTCGACTCTTTAGCTAACCAATCACTTGTGATGCTCTATGCTCATAGACTAAGAATTTGCATTTATGTTCATAAATGTTCACAAACCACCATCGATTAAGAGACTAGTAGTCACAGCTGTATTGTATGTAACTGATGCATTCCCAAAAAAACTGAAAACCAATGCAGCTGAAAAAAAAAGCCAAATATAGGAGATATGTTTTGAAATATTCATACAAAAATTCTAGTAACGTACCCCTGCAAATTTAGGGCCACTCCAATATCCAATACTTTTCATAAGCTAGTGTAGACGAGTTAATTTCTTCACGCTCTCTTCTAGGTCTTGAAGAACGGCTCTGTGTCTTTTATGGATTCCAATCCAGTAGGCCTACCCACTTATTCACTGTATCTCTAGTTACCCTAACGGGCGGTTAGGTCTTCAGCAGATCTATGGGGACTGTTTGATTTTTCCGGGGACTGCAGTGCAGATGAGTTCCTCAAGTGTCCTGCGACTAAACGTTTAGCCAAACCGGCTGCAAAAATAAGGTACAATAGAGGCCCAGAGAAATCGGGGGAGAGGAAGTGCGAAGAAAAAACAAGGTGAAAGGAAGCAGAAGGGAAGGGAAGGGATGGAGAAACCTAAGTTGATTCACGGATGATAAATGATGTGGGGAAATTTGACAAATATCGTGAGATCACAGAGCTGGAGAGAAGAGGAGGAGTCGGTAGCATTATAGTATGGGTCGCAGGAATAAAGATAGTAGTGCTATTAGTAGGGGATGACAACTCGAGACGTCTACAGGGAAATATAAGGTTGAGGCAAGTTCACGGTCGTAGTGGAGGCACAAAAGAATCAGTAAAAGGTTAAGTTGTGCGAAGTAAGTGGGTTGTATCAACCTGATCTTTGTCCCAGCTGAAGAAGCGTAAACCACGCGTTTCTGCACAGGTATGCAACCTCTTCTTGAAGCTCCCAAAAGACGGAACAGTAGCGATTTTGGTAGGGAATGCGTTGCTTTGGCTGCACAATTGCAGACAGGAGTGTGAACGCGAGCCAGTTTTCACCCCTCAGTGGGCGATTTTTCTTGGGTTGCGAAGAGGATTGCCTTAGTGGCCCTTCGGCAGGATTCCACTGTTCGGATGAACCGGATTACTTAATATTTTGTAAACCGTTAACAAGTCATCAAGTAACCTGTGGTGGCTAAGAGAGTAGCCCCTCGGTCGTTCAGCCTAGATTTACAGGGATTTTACTTCATTCCTGCAACAACTTTTGTTGCTCGCCTCTGGAGTTGTTTTCGAGAAGCCTGTATTAATCTTAGAAGTGTGAACCTCTGTGACTATCCAGTTTCCTCTTCAGTGTGTTCACCAAAGGAGCAGCTTCTACAGATTCCTGTAATGCGCTCCAACCGCTGACCATCCCGTGAGATGATCTGAGTTCTACTCGTAGGTTGTACTGCAGTGGCTTTTGAACAACTTTATGGCGGCCTCACAGATAGTTATTCTTGATAGGGGTAAACCCGCGACAGAGATCGAAACTAATGTCAATACTCATCGGCAATACGCTAGCCCAAACTCTCACGTTTTCTCATAGTACAATTGCGGGAAAAGATCCAGATTTTTTAATCATTTTTCACTGTAAAAATTTGAAAACAGGTTACTAACGTAGTAAATATCCTTTGTACTCGTTCTACGGTTTCCGCCCTATGTTTGAAGAACTAATTGATTTTGTGTAGTATTCCGGAACAGATCTTGCACAGGCAGACCAATTGTTTAAATATTTACTCATCAAGGCAGTTGAAGTTATCCCTGAATGACCACAGCGCGGGGGACGTCTTGGAAGCAGCCACGTCACACTATATCGTTGTTTTCAAGTTGCGGCCGGTAGCAGCCCCAAAACGTTTTGTTCCTTAATGCAAGCCAGTGGTGAGTAGCGATAATACAACCCTCCACCAACGTGAATTGCCGTGCTTTCATCAGAGTTGCCTTCTAGGCTGCGATGTTTAAACCTTCAGGCAATTCATCCAAGTCAGTCTGGAGGGCTATCCCATCACAGTTATTATCGACTACTCCCCAAACCCTAGCGCCACCTGCGAATAGGGTGGATGATGACATCAGCCTACCCAATAATTCATCACGAAGAGTGAGGAACAGAAGCGGCTTCAGTACATTGTCTCGTTTCCAGTCAAATAATAACCCATTCACTCCAACCCACTGTCTACTGTTGCGCAGGTCGACCTAGGACCACTTCCACCTGTTGGCATCCATGTCAAAACCTACGAGCTTCCTCAAAAGCACCAAGTGAGAAACCATGTGGAATGCTCTGCCAAAATCGAAAAACACCAAATCCATTTGCAGTTTATTATCGTTTACCTCCACCCATTCTTCCCAGGCTACAGGCTAAGCCACTGGGCAGGAGCGCCCGGTAGGGATGTCGTATTGCTCTTTAGCTAATAAGTGGTATGTTTCTTAAGGGCTAAGCTATTTTCCTCCGATTATTTTTCCGAAACTTTCAACACCGTGCAAGCCAAAGCGACCGAGCAGTAGCTACTAGCCAGTTGCCTGTTGCCCTCCTCGAAAATGAGGCGAATCACAGTGTCTTCTTACTCTGCAGGCAACCAGGCCTGGGATAATGGCCAGTCAATGAACTTGGGTTTTAGCAGCCTAGACTGGACTCAGTAACTTACCAGGTTTCAGATTACTTAACAACCTGGGAACTGCCTGCGTTGAAATAAACACCATTCTCGGGTCTTAAAGGTGACCATACTCGGAACACGCGTTAATAACTGCCTGCCAAAAGAACCATCCTGGAGTTATTTGACTGTGTTTCGGTTTGCCCTTTCCGACTTCGCTAAGACATCGACGTTTTCACCGATTAGAGCATCGGGCATCCCATCATACCTCCTGGTCCTGCATCGGATATCTTAGTTAAGTCTTTTGGGACGGCTAACACAGTTGTACAGTGAGTGATTTACATATTCAGCGTAGCTTTTTGTGGTGGCGGTCATCAGGGGTTTCGAACTTTGCGGCGCTTTAGATGAAGGGTGCCGCAACCCACCATCATAAATTGATCCCAGTATCGCTCCTTTAAAAAAATTGGACCCCATTATCCAAGGAGGTCTGAGAGAGGGCCTCAGTAGTAATGGCCAAAGAATGAGGGATGTAACACCTTCAAGCGTTGTCTTAGGTCACTCCCTAGCCTCACGAACAGTTCAGCCGATGCTGACAAACCTGTCCTCTAACACTGCCATGCCTCTAATCGCCATCAGGCCTGCCCGCGAGATATTCTGCCTGGTAGTGACCGATTCATAAACCAAATCGTAGGTTCTGAGAGAAAACGCAGCGACTGCGTGGTCTCTACCCGCAAGCGGTTGAAGGTACTGGAGGTCACTTACGACCCATTGGTGGTGAAGGAAGACGGAGCCTAACAGCGAATGCTCTTGCTTCGGATCAAAGCATGTAGCTACAACTACATTTTCACGGGGAAAATTCAAAGATATCGAAGCAGCTGTGTGGATATGCAGATATGAGCTCCTCCTATTTGATAACATGATCATTCAGATCCCCACTAATAATCACTTGCTACGAGCACCTCAGTTGCTCAGATGGCCTAGCACCAAGTCATCCTCTTGGTAATTACGACTAAGGTAAATGACTCTGATAATAATGGTGCCTTGCCTCGAACCAGTGTTGCGGTGCGTCAGCTCGTTTGTCCCATGGGTGTGGGCTTCTGATGCCTTTGAAAGTACTTTATAACTAAATAAATCAATGTTTTATTTTCACATTAGTAACTTAAGATAAGGGAAGCCAGTTTACAGGCATCATCACATTGATATATGTCAAAAAATATACAGGATTTTACGAGTCTTAAATCGCACAAAGGGTGTGCCGTTAAACTCTATTAAAGACGTCAGAAGATCCTGCTACTTATGGAACCAACAAGAAAAATCACTCTTCGGCCGATACGAAGTGTTAAAGTTTAGGTAATAATATAGATTATCCACAAAAGACAAACTAAACGTCAGATATACCAGCTTACAAACATCTCCAAATGATTAATTCTTGAAAGTTTACAGAGTAGTATCTGGTAATGAATGACTCACATCAAGTCATCGATTCTCATAATCTTATTAAAACTTGCTGCAAATCATGGGAAGGGCACGAATTCTATCTCCCATCACACTGACAGATTCCACTATCAATAAAGAAGGCGCGCAGTGTTCGAAGTCTGCGTCATAGCAAGCCTGTGCTGTTAGTCCATCTGCGTAGTTTGTTATTTAGCAATATAACCGTCCGTTCAAAAAAGTTCCCCACTTTTTAGCTTTGCTAATCACAGGGGACCTATTCATACGATCAGAAGTATCGGTAACCATCCAGTTATATAACCGATGTGACTGTCTAAATCAATGCATTTTCAGTCCATCATGCTATGTTTAAGGGCAATGCACAATAATTCCACCGGGAACATTTACTGTAGCGGATGGAAACGGACGTTCAGATGGTTAATAGCCCAGATGGCAGTATTTATATATAGACTTCGGGTATCTTTTGTATAAGCGTAAACAGTATCATTCGAGAAGTGTGTTTGACTCATCGCAGCTTCTACTCGAAAAGATCACTTGATACAGAGTATTAGAAGGCATGTAAAGTGGAACAGCAGCATGTGAATCGTGTTGCGAGGCAACAGGTAAATTGGTCTCTGGTTCAATTGTTTGTTCAGTGTTTGCACCACTATAGCTGTTATGAAAGCTTAAACCGTTCGTCTCGAGAAGAGTCTTGGCCAGTGGGCGAGTCAGTCTTGAAGGTGGTTCAGAAACCGCGAAAGAGTGGGATTTGTCCAGTAATTATTAAAGTCGGACAGAAGGCACTATTTCCACCAAGTAGGTGTGTTCAGATTGAAATTCAGCATCAAATGCCCTCGTCAGGCCGCTGCCGCAAATAAAAAAGAAATAAGAAGCACGAGCAGATATGGAAATAGTTATCACTACGTGGTCAAACCTGGAAAAGAGAGAAGTTCCTACACATTTATACCTATTCGAACTTTATGTACACTATCATGTATGCATTTATTATTAACTACATAGTTTTTCCACCATATGGTTCTTAAAAACCTCCAATATCCGGGGTATACCATAGTAGCTTTGCAGGGAAACCAGGGTGCACTAAGTTCATTATACCATTATACCTCGCCTGGTTAACTAGTTCACTAGTTACTAGCCGGTCCTAAGCCCAGGTAAAGAGGGAAGGTTGGGCATACGGCTAGCAACACTACCCCGTAAAACAAATATAACCGCTAAAGAAACTTCAAAGCACAAACAAAATATAAAAAATGAAAACAAACTTATTCCCGCTGGAATCGGAGAGGCGAAATGACGCCAGTTGGTGAAAGCCTTCGGGAAGCCAATTGGCCGATGTGTCTTCTCTCGATGAAGGCGAAAGTAAACGTGGGGACATGGAATGTCCGCACCATGTTTGAACCCAGTAA